GTTGATATAAGGATGAAATAGAACGAAAGTTACGAATGTAACTACGGTTCTATGAATCCTGGATGACCGCCAGAGTTCTTGGTCACTCGAAATCCCGTGAACTCGCGAGAAGATTCCGTAGGACTGATCTCAGGATGACACCGTAACTTATAGACGACGGGGGTCATCCGAGGTCACAGGTGACTTTGTTGGTATAAATACTCGACCTGCGCATGCGCGAGGCAGAAGATATCCACTGCTAAGCACTGCCTCTGGCGGTCATCCAGGATTCATAGAACCATAGTTACATTCGTAACTTTCGTTTGTAATGCAGGTTTTCTGTTTAACATTTTTAGCCTCAAGTCCAATCACAGACAACCCTGATGACACCATCAGGTTTTTTCAAACTTTGTAAAGCTTTCAAAGCTACAGGATAGAATTATTAATGAAATGTTTTCACCGGCTGATTAGCACTCCTTTCAACGAGTAAACTGAACTTGTTTGTAAAATTGTTGTAGGTCCCACTTAAAAATATAAATTAAAGCCATATCTAATACCCCGTGCTCACCAGGGCCCCTGCTCTCCTGTCTACCGGTTGTTTCTGTGTGTCCTCTCCAGCCCTCCTGAAGTGCCACCCACTTTTCCTCACGTACAAAAGCAGTAGTAATATCACATGCAAATGTTCGAGCTCAGATACAAATCTTATTGTGTGAGCGTGCTCTCTTTCTGCCTCAGTTCACTTTTATCAGTTTCTCGTCCTTTTTTCAATACAATTACGTACAGTATGTCAATCATTGTGGATTCCCCTGTAGATGTGGTGGTTTTGATTGAGGTGAAACTGACATTGGTTCGATAAAATAAAGCACATTTGAAGTCCCCACCGCTTAATCAGCAAATTTGTCAGTAGGTGGATGACAATTTCCCCCGACGCGGTGCATTTTTATGGCTCAAACGAACCAGGAAAAGACATGGTGCAGTGATGGTGCCAGATGAATTAGAAATAGTGTGGGCACATACTTTGGAAGTGTTGAAGGTCGACCTGGTATCTTCTCTTTAAATTGCAAATGAGCCGAAAGATATCGAAAGAAAACAGTGCTACGGGAGTTCTGTTGGATTAAGTGAGAAATAACGAGCTATTAAAGACAAGACAGAACCAATAAAGCCCATAAACACATTATTCGTCGGCACTGGGACCCCGTTCTTTATATATGAAAGTGTTTTAACATATGTTTATACTTAAGGTCCAGAAAGAATTCAGAAAAAAAGCTTATCATTATAAAAAGATGCAGATGAATTCATTGCTTATTCAAAAAATGTGAAACCACATATGTGTAAATATCCATTGCCTGCATTCAGCTACACTATTATATATGAAAGATGGAATCTGGTAAATAAAAAGTGCTCCTTAGTATTTTTGGAGGGACGTTAATGATTAATGGACATTATCACACAACCGGTCCCCTTGTGTTCCCTGCTGAAACCCGAACCCCTGTGAAGGGACTGTCCCTATTGGCATCACTGCAGCCTTGTTCAGATTAACTAAATGTCCTCATACTGGTGCTGCAGCAATGCATTACACAAATACTGTGGTGATACGGTGTTCACGTTACGCTCTCACAAGCACGCCCGCTTCAGGAAAGCCAGTGTTTATATGAAATGAGGATGTTGCTCTGTTGCTGTGTTATTACTTATACACACCGGAACACTCACACATATACACCGATGGAGTACATAGGTATTCACACAAATGCCTACAAACTCTTCTATGCTAAAAAGGAGCACATTTCATTTGCACAAAATTGCACTGGGTGGAAAATCCCCAGGTCAAAACTGCATGAATTGCATAAGACAAATCCGAGAAGGGGCAGAACAATTCTCACTGGTTAAAATAAACCACCGTGAAAGGCCAGAGGAATGGAAGATACGGTAGTTGAAAATAGTGTGGTTTATATTTTGTAGACTAAACCAAAAGTTCGTTTCACCAGAGTCCACTGACTGCAACCACAGTTTCTTTTATGAGCTTTAGGATTAAAGTTGAAAGTAAGCTTTATGTGTTCAAAACATGCTGAAGATATTCAAATGCGTTATCAATATACAAATCAAAACAAATGTAACCAGTTTATTACAAACTTAGTAACGGAACTTAAAGCTACATTACTCATTTGAAAAAGGATGAACATGGAGTTTATAATTGAATATGAAGGTATAAAAAAGAAACATTGCCGATTTTGAAGACAAAAGGAGAACTGTGATGCATGTAACTATAGCCCAAGTCACAGCGAGTGCAAAGAGTTTGCACTAGTTGTATTCAGCACAAGGGGAGTAACAAAATAATGAGAGAACACACACACGCACACAAACTCTTCTGTAAACACTTGATTGATGATGTGTAATGTGAAATGGTTGCTTGTAAACCCACAGCAATAATCTTTCAACTATACTTCTCTGCTGAGCTTTTTTAGCCTCTTTAAAGGTACGAAACGCACAAAATTCAGAACATATCTATTGCTTTCACACCGCTCTCAACATGGCGATGGCTTGCAGCTAACGGTGCAAACAGGGCAAACAACTGTAACAGTGCAGACAGCTAATGGTGCAAACAGGGCAAACAACTGTAACAGTGCAGACAGCTAATGGTGCAAACAGGGCAAACAACTGTAATGGTGCAAACAACGGTTACAGTGCTGAACAGTGAACCTGGGGAAGATGTTCTCGACAAGCTGTCACTTGATGTACTTCACACTTGGTGGGTGTTTCACAGTGGATCTCATGGAGTGCTTAGTTGAATTGGGTGCAATTTGGACACGTGACTCATTCAATATCAATAAACTTTGAATAAATTAATGAACTTCAGCATGTCGTCAGCAGTGGGGCTTTCATTGACTGCGGTTCACTTCTGCTGCTGGATGCTGGATATGCTAACAACCAAACCCTTCACTTCCCAGCAGCGTGTACCTGGTGTCAAGCACTCGGCCCCGAAAGGGCCACGAGCAATGAACGGCCGCCACGAGCAATGAACGGCCCCCCCCCCCCCCCCAACAACGTGGAAGCAGTAAGGCTTGATACTAACTTGATGCTTGATTATAACACTAATAACATTACCAGCAGCTAAATACCTCAAAGCCAAGCTCTACTTTTTAACCGTGGTGTTTATGTTCAAAGCAAGCGTCGAATACGCCTATTTTGGAAATGACCTCCGCTAAGTGTATTCACCATTGTTTCTGACTGCGATTAACCCCGACCAGGTTGTGTTTTTCACGGGGTGGATTTAGTCATTTAAGGGCCCTGGGCAAATGCCGTCTTGCTTTAGTTTTTACAATTTCTCTAACTTGGCATGTTGGCATTGACAGTTGTAGAAGAAGTAGGCTGACTAAAAAATATTGAAGTAAAACTATAAACTATTAATATCGCACATTAATTTAAGTTCCTGCATTCAACTGTTTACTTCAAGTGCAGAGTGAAAGAGAAGCATCATCAGCACAATGTACTGACATTTACACAGCTTCTAATTCTAAAACCATGCTGGAGAGTTTCCTGCTTTGGGGGCCTTTTGTAAGTTATTTGATGAGTTAGAATAGTAACATAATTCAATATTTTCCATATCTAAACATCATAATAAACCTATAGCTGTTTGGGGCCCGTTTAGTTTGGGGGTCTCGGACCTTTACCCAACGCTAAAATCTGAAATATTTGTTTCCCCCTGAACTAGAGTGTATTTCATTTCTGACCGTGACTAGCCGCGTGTCATGGCAGGCGTATTGCTGAGGACGAAAGGAAGCGCAGTGCTGAGTGTGAAGTTGTTTGCATGAGCGGTTCCAGAAAGCTGCAAGCAGCAACACCACAGGCCACATTCTGCCCGTTCTGAACAAGCGTGTTCTCATCGGCGCTGCTCTAACATACTGTGAGTCCAATCAAGACCTTCAGTCTATCATTGTTTGTCAGCTACTTGAAAGCATTAAGGAATGCCTACTATTCATTTTTTAGCCAACTATGCAGACATTCAGAGCTCTTTGTTTTGTTAGTTATACAAAATAGCAACTGCTTGTATCGGGGATAAAAGGCTCGAGCACAACGCTCAAATAGATCAAATGAACTTCCAGAGACATGTCAAACAGCCCTAATAGTTTTCTATCAATACGTATAGACACACATCTTGATATAATTCAACAACAAAACCCTTCTGGGGTAAAGATACGGTGAAGATATGATTTGAACTGAATGTACGATATACAACTAGGAAGTTCAGAAATCAGAAATGAAGCAAAAATGGTTCTGCATGGACCCAATAGGTGGTCACCCTGGCTTCACACCAAGCCCCTTTCTGTTCAAAGGGAATCACCATAAGAAGCAGAAATAATAAAATCATTTGTAACAAACTGCAATCAAAGTTTTGGCTTTGTCCTTGTCTTGGCTTGTCCTGAGTAGACATTGTCTTGCTGTATTATTCACACCATTTGTTTTGGTATTTTATTCCATGTGAATTTATAATAAATATGCAATGACCTTATAGTGAATAGATGTAAAGGAACTATGCAAAAATGTCAACACAACATTTCAGTTACTTGACTCTTCATCTACAATGTCTCCCCTATAAAGAGGCAAGACAATAGGGAAACCAAAACAAATTTGGTCACAACAGAAAGAAACATAAATGATTATAATACTAACTCTATACCTAAGCTTTCAAAGGGTCTTACCCCCAGAGAGGCGCCGTCAAAAGAATCCAGCAGCCCTGTTCGCCATTAGGGCCATAATGACATATAAGAAATAGATCCAAGTGTGATGGTGAACGCAGCAAACCGCCAGCTGCTGTTCTCGTGCGATTCAAGCCGGTTTAGCCGGTCTGACAGACAGACACGGGACCGACACCATGCTGTGAGCTATCAAGTCACACCAGCCCAGCAGAGGATATGCTGCTGCCGGTAAAAAGCGGATTTCCCCCTCTTCTTAACTGAACTCAGTCACACTCACACCACAGGCAGCATATAAAAAAGCACTTTTCAGCAAAGTGAAAGACTTACCTCACTAGTGAATTGGGTTGTGTTCTGCTCCCGCAACGTTCTAACTGGTCATGATTTAGAAAGTCATGAAATGAGGCTCGGAGAGGATGTAGAGTGTTGACAACAAAAAAGCAACAGGCCACCCGCAAAACGGTCAGTTCCTCTATCTGTGTGTACAAGGAAGTAAAAGTTAACTTGTATTACAAGCATAGCTTACAAGTTTTGCAAAAAAAAAAGGACCGGAAGCCAGGACGGTATCTATGCAAACGAGACTGTGCGGGAGGCACCGGGCGGGAGGCTCCGAGCCGTCAGCATGAAGACGTGTTCTCCATGTTCAGGAGCTCCGTGTCTTGTTTTAGTGGATGTGGTCTCTGATGCTGAGTGCAGCTTGAGGACGCAGAGAAAGCTGCGCCATCTTAAACGAACTCCATCTACATTATGTGTTAGACAGGTGGCTGTCAAACGGCGGCACGAGGACCCCTGCTTGTCCGTTAAGGTGGTCCAGAAGGTCCGCGGACTGCTAAGAATGCTCGCACTGACTTGAAAGAATGCTCGATTAAAAATGTTTAAAAGTGGGAAGGAAAAACAAAGATGGAAAACATGTGTTTTACTCGAATCTTTGATCAGTGCTGGAAGAAGTACTCAGATCCTACACTTAAGTAAAAGTACCACAGTTCAAAAATGATGTGTCTCGCTTTCAAAACCTTAATCAAGTTAAAGTTGTGTCAGCATTCTGTGCATAAAGTATCAAAAGTAAAAGTACGTATTATCATGGAGGGATTATTGAACGGGCCTACCGGGTACAGGCGCAGGGGCCCAAAGTGTCAGAGGCCCCCCTTCCCTTCACCTGCAAAATGTCACTCAAAGAGACATGTATGTGGTCATTTTGAGTCTCTTCCTGGTTCAAAGAGACAAAAAACTACTACAAAGTCTTTGTGTCTTGCTCCTGGTTAGTGGAGCCTTTGGCATGTCTGTGTACAGGGGGCCCATTGTCTCATAATTCACCAATGTGTATTATGCTTAAGAATGATCCAATTTGGAGTTATATTGTTATATTATTGGAATATTAGGACTGATGGATGAACAGAAATATGAATAGTATGAAATAGTATGAAATATGAAGTACAATAAAACCCTCTGAAATACAGTTCAATTGGGGATATTTAAGCAAAGTTACCTTAAAACTGTACTTTTTTACAGTACTTGAGTAAATGTTACATTCAACCAGTGTCATGAAATAAAAAATATATCCTTCAAAGAAATAATTGTGGATGAGGATAGCAGAGAAAGAAATGTATACCCAATTACCTCCAATTCATGCTTCTGTCTTTTGCTTCTACCTTTTGCAAGGCAAAAAGTTTTGGGAATAATTGATCTAGAATCTGATGACAAAACCAAATGGGGGTCTCTTGACATCTAAAAAGGTTTTGAAAAAGATCATATAAGAATAAAATCAAGTCCCCAGAACAGCAAATACCGTGGAATCAAAGTGAAGCAAACTGAATTTATGTAAGCGTTGAACAAAAGTGATATTTGGACATAAAGGGAAATACAGCTCCGTCACAAGAACTATGTAAATATGTGCATGAACGGCAGCATGCGGGCAGAGCATTGAGAGACAAAGATAATGGTTGAGAAAAGTTGAAAATATATAATTATTACAAAAATGGGAAAACAAATGAATTGCAAATAAACACAATGTAATGCATGACACTTGTGCATTGGTCTTCCAATGTCTGTTTTACTGCTGACAGTATATTTTTGCTGTGATATTGTTAGCCAATAACAATAAGATCATAATTATGTCATAGGCCTCCTGCATTAAGAACTCAAATATTAACCCGTATGAAAGGTGCTACACGAGTAAAGTTTGATTGATTAATTGAGATATTAAGGGATCAAGGTTGACCATCGATAAAAAAATATACAGCATTTCCTCCAGCCGGGGAGGAATAAGTGCAAAGAAAAGCATATCATGAGGTGATTCCAAGCTCCAAATATATTCACATTTCTGGGAATAAAATGGTAAAATAATTTCATAGACAAATATAAGGACAGGCATAAACGTTCTTTATGGAGTCACGTCCGCTGTGCTACTGTGGGAAGATTATATATCAGAGATTTGCATGTGTAGCTCGCCTCAGTAAATTTGCATGGTAGCAGAGCAGCGAGGAGGAGTGGGGGGGGGGGGGGGGGGAATACAGAGTTGCCTGTCTCGGTCTCTGAGAAGGTGTTTGTTATGTTGTAATGGTACAATTAGTGGTGTCAAAGTGGAGATCTGGTCGTTTATCGTGATGCCAACATTTTACAGCTTATGAGCAAATTATGACACACTGACACTCAACTGAGAAACACAAGTGAAAGTAGTTGCTCCCTCCGGGCCCCCTCTTCCTTTCCTTTTATTATGACGCGCTTACAGTCATTATGACGCGTTTACCTTCATTATCAGGCATTTACATTCATTATGATGCCTTTGCTCTTTTTTTTTATGGATTTGCTTGCATTATGATACATATGCTATGATACATTAACAACTACGGAGAGACACAAAACAATTAGGAAGAGAGGTTAAATGACCACAAAGAGACACAAAACAATTAGGAAGAAACACTAAACGCCCACAAAGAGACACAAAACAACTAGGAAGAGAGGTTAAACGACCACAAAGAGACACAAAACAACTAGGAAGAAACACTAAATGACCACAAAGAGACACAAAACAACTAGGAAGA